GGGAAAGAGAGAGAAGGAGGGAAAAAAACAAAAACCAACCAGCTATTCAATATTGTCCTGACTAACAGAGAAAGTGCTACGTAGACAAAAGGCTCTATGTAGGTCAGCATACCAGTGTCTACTAGTGATAATCCTAGCTACAACGCCAAAGTCAGGTTGCAATTCCCACTTAGAACAGATGCATTATGTTTCAGGTTGTCAACACACCAGACTCAGGATGACTCAATGAAATGACTTCCTCTTGAAAGGAAATGAGATATGGGAATAGGGAGCGAGAGGGAGACAGGGTCCTCATGTGGGGAGATTAAGCCAAGCCATGCTGTGAGGAAACTACCTTCTGTCAAATCTCCACCTTTACCAGCATGTTCTATGTCTATGGAAAATACAATAATGATTTGTGGAGGACGGGAAATGGGAGGAGCTGCAGCAAGCATGACTAATTGCATTTTCTTCCTTCTTCATATAGAAAGTCTTCAGGCAGACAAATCTAAAACAATTCAAAACACCAACCTGGACCCTCCAAAATCCTGGGGAAAGAATCACCCAGTCTCCTATTCTGAGTACTGAACTTCAGAAAAACAGGCTCAAAAACAAAAATAAGGGGTTAAGAGCTGCTAGATTCATGGCCCTTATACTTTTCTGCACATTAAAAAGAGCAAACCTACAAATTAACAAAATCTGCACAAAACCCAGCAACTGAAATTCTCAGGACTGCTAGATATAATGGAGGGAAAAACTTGAAACATATTTAAACTAGGATTTAAAAGTTTGATGTTCGAACATTAGCCAGTGCATGATAACCCATATTAAAAATATGGTCTAGACAAGGCACTCCACAATGCGATTGAATTAAAATAAAGGCTCTCTTCTAGGATTTCACTTGACCAGTTTAACATACAGTCAATGCAAACACATGCTAACATCACACCTTTAAACTCTAGTTTAAACTAGGCCTCAAGTAAGGCATGAGAGCATGCTAGTGGGAAAGTATGTTTCTTTTTATAGAAATGGGGTAATCTTCCATTATGCTGGAAGTTCACAGTATTAAATCCATATATTCAGAATTTGGAAAAACCTGCTCTTATACATGCATATACATGCTGTTTCATCCATGCTCTCTTACACCAATTACTTATTTAGGTAAAAGGAAATCAAAATGATTATCTAGCTTTACTGAAAAAAGATGAATTGCTGCACTTCCCACAGTAATTGAGATTATAAAACAGACACAATGCAAAAAAAACCAGGTAAATTCCTTTTATGTTCAAAGAGACAGCAGAGAGCAGTACTTTTTTAAAGAAAGTTTTAAGTAGAATTGAATTATGTTTTACAAAGCAATATACAAAATATTGAGTTTTTAGCTTCTTGGACCCTGTGTAAGCTCTTTGCGTAATTGTCTCTTTCCTGTATTTGAGGTACAATATTAAGATGTACTGTATGGAGGAAAAAACGGTACACGACATCACACCTTTGCTGTGTTCCCCTCACCCAATTATACACAGAAGCTTTGCATATTCCATTTAAGCTCCTGCATAAAGGCTTTTCCTTTCCTTAGCAAATGGTCTTAGAGGAGATCTATGCCCTCCAGATAGAGCCCCCTTGAAAGAAATGATAGCTTTGTAACAAAATAACAAACAAGGAAAGAATGTACTGCTAATGATCACCGCTCAGCCTGTTTGTCTTTTTATTTCACAAACTTGTTATTTGAGGATACAAATGCACATTAACTCTTAGGCTGTGTTTACATTGCACCTCTTTTCCAGAAAAGGGATGCAGATGAGACAAGTCGGACCTGCAAATGAAGCGGGGATTTAAATTTTCCCTGCTTCATTTGTATAAACATGGCTGCCGCTTTTTTTCGGCTCGGGGCTTTGCCGGAAAAAAGGGCCATTCTAGACGGGGATCTTTCGGAAAATAAAGCCTTTTCCGAAAGGTCCCTTATTCCTCTTAAAATCAGGAATAAGGGACCTTTCGGAAAAGGCTTTATTTTCCGAAAGATCCCCGTCTAGACTGGCGCTTTTCTCTGGCAAAGCCCCGAACCGGAAAAAAAGCGGCAGCCATGTTTATGCAAATGAAGTGGGGGATATTTAAATCCCCGCTTCATTTGCAATTCCGACTTGTCTCATCTGCATCCCTTTTCCGGAAAAGGGGTCCAGTGTAGACACAGCCTTACTGTTTAGAGTTGCAATAATTTTGGCTGTATTGTGCTTTTTATACTCCCAAAACCGCTGGCACTGTACTGAGTTGAAAGCTGGTGGTGTAGGCCAATTGAGCTCTTAAGCAATAGCTCACAGTCTTGACAGTTTGAATCAGGTTTTTAATATGAGGTGAATAAGGACCCAGATGCTGCAAATCTCTCATTCTATTTCAGACGCTCTCAGAAGGAAACCTGTGTTGTCATCTCACCAAATGACAGCATGACTGAGACTCCAGCATCTCACCCATTGATAATGTCCAACATCAGGAGTAGGCAAGAGCCTTCAGTAATCCAGAAACAAAAAGCCATAAAATAAAAAAGTAAGACTTGCAAAAAACAAAGAGAAATATCTCTTTGAATTCATGGACAGTTAATTTTTCATGTTTAGATCACACTGTAATGTAATCAGTAAGAATGAAATATATTCATGGATTTAATTACAAAATTTGGATAAAAGTGATCTCTAAGGGTTTCTTTTGAAACAGTTAGCAAATGATTCAGTTTTTACAGTACTTAAAATTTCCTCTCCCATATAAATGAGCAAAATGAAATTTGCTTTTACTATGCAGGCTACTCTGCCTAGCTTTTGAAGTGCTGACCCCAACCCTTTCCTATTTCTCTCTCACTCCACTGCTCATCTGGCTTCATTATCAGTGGGTTTGAAACAGCAAGAAAACTGCATCTCCACTCTCTGTCATTTGCCATTAGCAGGACATTTATTTATGACTTATTGTAGTCAGCCCCCTCCATCAGCTTTTATAGTATCACTGACCTGTGATCCGCAAATGATTCATTGTTCTCAGCATTAAGGGTTCCAGCTGTAGCAAACATGATAGTTGTGTCCAGATCTGCAATTATCCCCGACACAGCACTAGCTGCAGTGATACAAGCCTGAGTACCTTTGTTTCCTGCTTGAAGGGCAGACAGAACCAAGGAAACCTGAAAACGGGAAAATAAAAAAGAGGATCACATTAAAACAAAGCATAATTTACTAATTTGGAGTTAAACTTAACTCCTGTGAGGAGAATCAACAGGTGCAATTCATTTGCGATCTCATTTCACAGTCTATGGCAAACCTCTTCCTTCCCCTGCCTGCTCTAGCTGCACATTAGTTTTTCCATAGAAGGAAGCCTGCTATTGGCATTTGTCTTTCATAGTAAGAAAGACTGTCTGCTGATCAAGCAGGATACACAATAAATGAGCAGATCATAGAGGCCTTCACTACATCTGCTCTGCATATAAATAATGGCTCAGCAATCAATAGTGTAAGCAGTCATCTTCCGCAATATCTAAATGAAAGGAAGAGCTACCCCCAATACAATAAATAAGAATTCCAATTTTCCTACAGTCCTCTGCAGTCAATAAAGAAGCTAGCTGCATTTATTTCAGTGTCACAATTACTTTTCAGCACTCTACAGTGCTGCCCATAACAAGGATGACTGAAGCTCTTAGCAACTCAAATTTGTCATACAGCCGGTTTAAAAGAAAAATCACTGCTGGTCCACACTGCATGGCTCTTCCCTCTCTTCTGCTTCCGTGACAGAGTGATCTCCCCATCCCTGATTCAAAGAACCCAACCCCAAATGCTGGTGCAATGCATATGTCCATGTTGTGAAACTACACCAAGAGATTAAGAGGCGTAGTAGTTACTCCTTTTTCCTTTCGGATGTATTCATTTAATAGCAGTACGACAGCACCGACTCATAAAAGAGAAATACATTATAATGGTATTTTACATCAAATTACAGCACATCTTTCAAATACAGAAGCACAGTTTGTATCTTCAGTTGGTTATCTGGCTTGGCAACACGGTAGACACTTGGGACTTGGGCTCCCAAAAGTGCATGTGTACGAGGTGAAGTAGCTCCTTTTAACCCCACATCACTTAGGTGGAATATCGATCTCAGAACCACTGAACCTAAGCTAGCTACTTCTGGGAAGGAAAGCAAACAGCCAGAGTAAGAAGTAACACACCAATACCAGGGGGATGGAGGGGAGGGGACAAACCTTGGCCACGCGCTGTAGGCAGAGCTGGCCCAAGGTACGGGCCAACCGGGCTACCGACCGGGGTGCCCCATTGTAGGGGGCGCCGCGCAGGGCTGCTGGGCCGGGTGGGACGGCACTGCGCATGCTCGTGCGCCCAGGGCGGCGCCACGCATGCGCCGCACGCCTGGGGCGGGGCCGTGCAGGGGCTAGGTGCCCGAGGGCGGGGCCACGCATGCATCGCACTCCCGGGCCCCGGGGCGCGTGAATGGCTCGGGCTGGCACTGGCTGTAGGACAAACTCCATACCATGGGAAGTATCACTGGCTCTTTAGTATTAATGCACTGCTAACAGGACGCAAGTTTTCATTGACGAGAGACACCCACTGCAAGCTATGCATGGTTCGCAGTGTATCTGCCTCAAAATGATGAAATCTGGGAAAACCCCATCCTAATTGAACCCCATCAATCTATCAAAGAAAAGTATAACACAAAACAATGTTTGGAAGTGGAAGCTAGACAAACTCAGACTAGAAATTACGTGTATTTTTTTAACTGAGAGTGTAATTAATCACTGGAACAATTTAACCAAAGGTCACAGAAGATTCTCCCTGATTGACAAATGCTACCTCAAAACTGGATGTCCTTCTACAAGTTCTGCTCTAGGACTTATTTTGGGGAAGTTCTATGATGTGTGTTATGCAAGAGGTCAGACTAGATGATCACAATGATCCCCTCTGAATCCATGAAACAACAAGAGGCATCTTACCTTTTCAGTGACAGCACGAGCACATTCTATCAACTCCCTTTTAGTGTATCCATCCGTGGGGCAAATCTGTAGCGCTCCAGCTTTCTGTACTAGAAAGATACATCCATGACCAAGATCTTGTACCCGAGTCCTGATCTGGAATCCTATCTAGATAGGTAACGAAGTGTGGGGAAAGGAAGACAGAAGACAAAGACAGTGCTTAGAAAATTGAGGTTTTGTATATACTGAACAACTGTAAAACGTGCATTATTTTTGTTGCAAATATTTGCCCTCAAGTACAATTCTTGCGAAGGATCAGAAATAAGGGCCAGGTTCTAGCATCCCTTATTCTCACGCTAAGTAGCATCTTAACCCTCAAGTAGTCCTTGGGGCTTCAGTGGGACTACTCGTGAAGAGGAATACTATGTGAAGTGAGGTAGGGGATCAGAATCTGGATGTCTCTTATGTGATTAGCATAGAGCATTTAAATCAAGTCGAATTAAGTATTTTTAAAAGATATTAGAAATTTCACAAAAGCATGCATGCATCTGTGCTCACTGTAAAGCAGAAATGATCCACTTGTTCTCAGGGTGAGCTGACCTCAAGGCAAACAGGTTCCTCCTCCACTCTGATCAAAGTTTTCTACACACAGCACTGTAACCACAGCTCCAGCTCCAGGAGAGAGTTCTCCCAGCACTCTAGGTGAACCACCTCCAAAAGGGGAGCAGCGAACAGGGCTGGAAGCTGGCACTTACAGCACTGAAAGTTGCTGCAGTCAGGGGAGGGAAGGTGCTGAATGAGCAAGTTACAGTACAGTAAGGCAGCAGTGAAGACAAGCTCAAGGATAAAGAGTATGTACCCTCAGTTATGAGTACCTCAATTTTATTAATAGATGAATCTAGCACAAGTTCTTGACTATTTGTTTATTTTTCATTACTTAGCACATCCCTATAAAACAGCCACACCCATACATATCCCTAAATGCATCACAATTTCAGATTTACTATTAATCTTGAAATCAATGTGGTCTCAGAAGCATGAACCAATGCTTTTAATACTTTTAATTTAATACTTTTAATACTACTATGCACATTGACATATAATTTTGTCTATATTTTGGTTAATTATAAATAGGAATTGAAGCTATTAGTTCCCAATAATGAAATTATTCCTACTTAAAGCTGAACTGCTTTCTCAGATGAATGCTCATTATGTCTAGCAATACTCATGACAAACATAAGCCATTGCTTTTGACCTAGCTTTTCAGCACCAAAAATATTTAAATCTCAAGTGAACTATCAGTGGCGGGGTGTAATAAATAAGTCAAAAGCTGTTTGAATATCTTTAGTGTAGATAAATCTGATACTGTAAATGGCTAATGGAGCTAAATATCAACAGAATAAAACCAATAGGGAAAAGGCAGACATCATCAATTATTCCAAGATTTTCAATCATGGACTGAGTACTATACACATGATGGAGAAACAGGACAATAACGATTCCCTTCCTCCTATTCTTTCAATCTCTTCTCAATGAAATATGGTATATCAGTTTGAGGAGAGAACAAAAAGTATGTTTATATGATTCATCAAATCTTTGGACCAGGGGAAATGATCTGTGTGAATAACTAAAGAAATGTCTCAAATGTTCTGTTTCCAGGTTGCCTGCAAGCAATTGGAAATGTTCCAAGTTAGTTTGGAGAAAAGTTCTTTTCTGTGGAGTGTTGCAAGCAATTTGTATAAAATATGTGAAATGGAAGTTGAGTTGTTCATGCTTAATTGGATGTTTCTGTCCTCTAACTCAGTGAATAACTCCTATAGTACGTCTTATGATATGAACACATGCACTTATAGAAATGAAAATCTCGCTTTCTTTGACCTCTACTATTTGCTAATTTGGACCATTCATAACAGAAAACCAGTGCTTCAGACTTTTCACCAGAAGTGTGGTAAAAAGGGATAAGAACAGTGGAAATGAACTTGTTTAAAAAACTTATATATTAATGGAAAATGTTTAGCTGTATTCTGTAACTTTTATTCACATACACTTTGAATGAGCAATGATGCAACAGAAGTATGTTACAGCCTATACACATATGTACATACATAGTATTGTGCAATGTGTCTATACTGTAAATATCTTACTACAGTGGTTTTCCACAGGTGGTCATATGTCACAGAGAAAATAAGAGCATTTAATAATAATAAACAACAACAATACTGAGCATTACAACTTTTATCTAGCTGAGTGTGCTGTATGCATGAATCAACTCTTTTAAAAAGGTACTAATGGAGCTCTAAGACAGATAGGTCCAAACCTGAAATCTGGTGAGGAAAGAGAGATTTTAAGTACAGATCTCCAGATCTGAAACTGCACCTTTGGTTCTGATCCAAACCATGGAATGGGGCCTATTATGCAATGTTAGGTCCACATGGAATCCCTCTGAGAAATCCCACTTCATGCGACTTACTACCCAATATTTCCAGTGTTAATGAGACAGAGACTGTGTCTTCCAACATGCTGGACAGACAGATGGTTGAAAAGACTGGAGTACAGTAAACAGTGTTTTCCTGTCTGGGAGCTTATTAACTATATTTATTTTAAATGATCTCAGAAATATTTCAGAGAAAACGAGACGATTGTAACCCTAGTTTCTATTTGACTGCACAAAAGATGACTCACACTTGAGGATAACTAGCTGCATTTTAGCAACTGGAGGAACTACTGTGTTTCGTTACCTTACCCCACTTTGCCCCCTATATTAAATTTCAAGAGAATACTCCATGTTGACACCACTATGCATTCAGAGTTTAGAGGTCTAAAAACTGCAGACCTCCTCTGGTTCAGCGGTAGCTGCTGCCATTCGGCCCTGGAGAGCCAAATGCCCATAGTCATTGGTCATTTGTGATGCAAGTCCTCCCAATTCCTCCGGGTTAGTAACCGACTTAGTCATCTGAAAAAAGAAAACAAGCAATAAAACAGTGACAGGCATAAAACAGTCTGTTAATACTCCACACTGCCTAGAAGCATACAAGTATATTTTTGCAGCACCAGTGGTGGTAGGGTACCTACTGCTTTCTTAGCAATTTAGTTTCGAGCTAGAATACTATGAGCCAAAAAAAAAAAAAATCAAGCAAACATGCTTTATTAGAACCACAGTAACTAGGCACTCACAGAACACAAAGTAACCGAGGAGCAGTTAGAAATGGAAATTCACTCCTCAGCACAGCAGGCTACTGCAGAAGTACTCAACACTCTCAGCTTAGTAGATGAATTTATGGAAGGTTAGGGAGGGGGAAGAGTGCTTCATACAGCACAACAGCAGCCCCTCTATTTGGTACTGAGGGGCGGAGCAACCTACTCTCTTCCAGACCTTCTCAGCCTCACCGATGAGCAGTGCCTTGGTGGGGAGGAGAAGGATCTCAGGTGGATTCTAAGACTGACAGAATGTGCAAGACCTCTCATGAGGCAAGGAAAAATGGCTGGAAATGTACAAAATAAAGAATTTCAGTTTTGAGGGTGCAAAAAAGAAAACTTTCCATGGAATATCTGCCAACTCTCTGAAGGTGACATTGTTCTATTTATGCTAAAGCTGCAAAGAGTGACATTCCAGCCTTCGGATAAAACCTAATGTGCAGGCAAATTCCTAATGTGTACAGAATGGAGCCAGCTACTGTCTGTTGAAATGACAACTCACTACCTGCAGAGAATCCCTCCCGTTTTTTTGGTACAGCAATGTAGGCTTTTTGGAGGGGGTTTTCTTTTAGTAACATGTTGTAATATTACCCTTATTTTTTAACAAGGTGGAGTATTCTTTGCTAATGGATCAATACTGTTCATAATATTAACTATTACCACACATCTTTAGGACTAAGAAAGAACCTGATTCGCCCCATCATCTTATGGCCAGCTGAAACACATCACCAGGAATTCTGTATCAAAAACAGGAACTTGACTGTTGCTCATTTAATTAACAATTATACTGCAATGTCTGACCTCAATTAATGGGTAAAGTTAAAGAACAAATAAATATATCACACTCCAAAGGGCTAATGTAGATCAGTAAGAAACTTACAATAGCTCTGTATTCCAGTGATGTGAAGGGTTGGTTAAAGCTGTTTCAGCACATACCTTCCCAGCACATTTGTTTCCCATAAAAAGTAAGCCTCGTGAGAAGTACTTGACATTACATTCCACTAATATATACATCTCATGTCAAAGAACCAGTGTTAACACAGCCTTCCAAATTCAGTGGCTGTTCTCATTACAATTGAACAAATATAGCCACTCAAGTTTTCAATTGTAAAACTGGCTAGACAAGTGTTTAAAACCAGCTGTGGGTTGTTACCAGACTGTTTCACAATCAAAGTAATAAAATGAATTGGTTGGTCTTAGTTCAGTCTCTAATGGACAGAAGTGCTCAGCTATGAAATGTTCTGGCACAGTCAAACCATTGTTTCAAGAGAGGGTCAAATCATAGACCAGTTCGAGTATTATTCTCTTTAGGAAGGTATAAATCATACCAATATCTGTAACAGTTTCAATCACTCGGACCTTAATCACAGAAAATTGTCTCCAGATCAATGTTGACTGGTGGACAGAGTTCTCTACTACTGCTATTTCTAACTTCATTCTCTCCCCAGTAATAAGCATCACATTCTTTTAACTTCATTTTAATTGTTCCCAAATGGTCTATTTTCACCCCTTTCATCATGGTGACATTTCTTTTGGTTACTGTTGAGTTCTAGCACAGGCCTCCTAAGGTGGTTCTTTTGGGCAGAAAGCTACATAAAGTAGCATATATTCTTTTTAAAGGCACATCCTTTGAGTTAGGCAGAAAGATCCAAGAGAATGACAGCACTCCTCTGTTGGTAGTGTTCTCTTCTCCATCATTCAATCAGGTTCTAATGAAGACCAGGAAACGGTCACCACCCTTATTTTGCCTACCTACAAAATAGATCAACTGGAAGTCAATGTCACAAAGATGAGGCTTCAGGCAGAACTGGTTCAGATTAACACATACTTGGCAGTTGTCACCCAGCTATTTTACAGAACACTTGCTCATTTTTCTTACCATTTCCTGTGCTGTTACAGCAATGGCTTTGGAATATTTCACTACAGTAGTTTGATAATCAACAAATGATCCCTTTGGATCTGGAGGTGTGCCCTCATCCAGCTGTGGAGAGAGGGGAAAACATGAAAGCAATGACAGGCATGCAGGACACATACATTGCTAACATTTTTAGGCTAATTCTGCAATTGCACAACACATAGTTAAATTCAAAATGTGCTAAGATGTACAGCAAAGCTTCCTAGCTTACATTGCTAGTTTCACATAACTTGCATAGGATATGCAGTTTAGTGCCCACATATCAATAAGTCCTGAATTTCTTCACACGTTCATTCCATTTTTCCCATGTCCCTGACCTGTTGCCAATTAGATTTAAAAATGAATGTACAATGCTCAAAACACAGATCTTTCACCTGAATAGTCTATATAACATTCCTTGCATGCTAAGCAGCCACCAAAATGCCACTCTGAGTAAAACAAACATGAAACCCAGAATATGCAAGATTAAGTTTTTCTGTTTGTTTAGCAAGAATCCTACTCAGAGGATGGAATCCCATGCATTGCTACAGGCTCAGGTGCTAAGCAATAGTTGTGCGGAAAAAGACCGGAGGAATAGAGTAGATAAGAAGCTGGATATGAGCCAACAGTGTGTCCTTGTTGCCAAGAAAGCTAACGGCATATTGGGCTGCATTAGTAGGAGCATTGTCAGCAACTCTAGGGAAGTGAATTTCCCCTCTACTTGGTGATAGCGAAGTCACATCTGTAGTGTTGTGTCCCGTTTTGGGCCACCCACCAGAGAAAGATATGGATAAATTGGAGAGAGAGCTCAGGGGAGGAAAATAAAAATGAATAGCGGGCTGGGGCACATGACTTAGGAGGAGAAGTTGAGGGAACTGGGCTTATTTAGTTTTCGGGGGGGGGGGGAAGAGAGAGAGAGAGAGAGAGAGAGATTTGATAGCAGCTGAAGGAGGGTTCCAAAGAGGATGGAGCCAGGCTATTCCCAGGGGTGGCAGATGACAGAACAAGAAGCAATGGTCTCTAATTGCAGTGTGCAAGGGTTCTGATGTGAGGGCGCAGAGATCCAACACCCGCCAGGCAAAGCGGGAGAGGTAAAGGAGCAAACGCGTAGCCGAGGGCATGAAGGGAGGCCCCAGGAGCTTTGTGAGTACCAGATTGAGATCCCAAGCAGGGATTGGGCGCCAGACTGGTAGTGGAGTCTATCCACATCCTTGAGGAAAAATCCAACCAGGGACTCACAAAAGCTGAGTGACCAGCCTCCCCTGGATGGAAAACTCACAATAGCTGCCAAGTGGACTTTCAGCTAGGAAGTTGCTAGGCTTGGTGCTTCAGGAATACCAGGTACTCTAGCACCTAAGGGATTGAGGCTTACAAGGGTGTAAGTTAATGCTGGAGATAAACATGAGAAACGTTTCCACTTAGCCAGATACGTGAGTCTAGTACAGGCCTGGGCAAAATACGGCCTACGGGCCAAATCTGACAACCAAGCCAGACGGAGTGGGGAGACCCAAGTAGTCTCCCTGCTTGCCTCACCCCACCCACGTACTGCTCACAAAAGCAGCTGCTGGGCCATTTCTCTTTCAAAACTATGAGCCCGGAGGGCAGGGAGGGAAGGCTTCAGGTGCTGTCCCTTCCTCCAGCACAATCGTACTGGCCAGTTTGTAGCCAGAAACTGGCCAATGGGAGCTGCCTGTCTGAATAACAGGCAGCCATGAAGCACCACACCCTTTTCTTTCCAACTCATAGTTATTCATACATGTATATGGCCCTGCAGCCTGTGCAGGGATGGGGCAGGCAGGGTGGACCCTCATGCCCAGACCCCACATCTTCATCACCCTCACACACGTCTTCCTACATAGACTCCACACACACAGCCTGCTCCTGTACTCAACCTCCCAGCTAGATTCCCCTCCTCCCCCCCCACAGCCCACTCCTGTACCCATCATGGCTGGCAGTCTGCAAAAAGTACTGTGTTAAGTGGGGTGGGCCATGGGCCAAAAAGTTTGAGAACCACTGCATTAGGGACATGTGGCGCTTGCAAAGGAAGAGAACCATAGGTCCAATAGCTGTCACTGGCGATAAGAAGGAACTGAGGGGCAGTTAGGTCAGCAGGGTCATATATAATATACTACACCGGTCTGCTTTAGGGAGCTCCACTGTTGACCCAACAGGCAGCAGCTAGGGTAAAACTTAACGGCAGCCTTGTGCAAACACCTTGTGAGAACTGGAACATAGATCAACAAGCACTCCAAGAAGAACCATGAATAACTGGTCATATTTACAACACTGAACGTTTTAAACGTGTAGAAGAGAATGAAACAGAGAAACCGCGTTAGACTAAGCCGTGTCGATGTAACTGTGGGACTGTTCAAATTATACCCGTTAAAAAAGAGATGAGGTAGAGCTTTAAGTTAATTGTAACAAAATTAGAGAGACAGATATTGGGCCTAACTGGTGAAAAAAATAATGCAACTATGCCACCCAATTTCCCTCTTTTGGGGTTTCTTAAAAAGAGACTGAAACCCTCCCCCACACACTCAGTCTCTCATCCCCAGCCACCTTTGCAACCCAGCTTGTTTTCTCTCATTGCATCTTTCCTGACGCCCAAAAGGAAGGAGTAAACTAAACTGACTTTCTTCCATGAGGAAGGCCAGCTGGCCTTGCTCTTGTTTAAGCAACATTTTTAATCTGTGAATGCTGAAAGTGATACTACCATGACATCCAGTCCTCAGCCCATCCTTTGGAATATCTAATCACCAGCACCACAAAGCCACATAGGACCTTGTTCTGCATTTCCTTCCCGTGTTTCGTTATTTTTGTCACACTCTTTGGTTCCTCCTACCCTACCTCACTCTCCTGGATTTGCATCAAATCCTGAAATCAATCATATTGCATTTATTCTGCCTTATATAAAGGTAAAGGATGCAATCAAATGATGGCCCTGAGCAGATCATAAACTAACAGGGTCCAAAGAGTAGGTGTCATGGTTAACTTGAGAGCTAAACATCCACTCGTAACTAATCAGCGTTCCAGAAACATCAACCAAAGCCTATTTCACTCTTCCTTATCCTGTCACTGCTTCACTTTCTGTCTGTTCACAGGGTAAGTGAATGCCCTTCAGACCAGGACTGGGAGGAAAATTAATCTTTCCCTTTTCATCAAAGAAAAGTTGCTCCAAAAATCAGACACACTAATATTTTGACTCCCAAACGAGAAAGGCTTTGATAGAGTCTGATTAAGTTTGTTTTGCATAAACACTCAACCACCATTTCAATACAAGTGCGTTTCATTTTCTTGTTCTTTCCTGTGTTTAGGCAATCAACTTCCAATTTGAATTAATGCCTTCAGGTGTTTGCCGAAGTAACTGAGCAAAAGAAAGAGCTGTTTAAAAATCATTCCCAACTCACTTCTGACTCTTTAATCCTGGATAGTGGAAGAGTTTATCCACATTTTTAACTCTTCAGACTTTTAAGATCAATATCAACAATATCAGCACAGAAAGACTTATCACTGGCCATTTAAGGAACATTTTGCATATAGCTCTCTAAACTATTCCAGTAGAATCATGGAACATATATTAAATGTCAGGCAATTGTTGCCAGTATCATCTAGAATAACCATTACTTTCCATTCACGTCATTTGGGGTTGCTAGGTACCCAATACTCACCTTGTTCATGGCCTCTGCTATCGAGTCTACCATACCTCCAACCATGCCCACTTCACTGGCAGCCTCATTCAATGTAACCATTATATCATCTACTGCCTCCTTCATCAGCTGAGCAGCCTCTGTGATTGCATCATGAGTGTGAGATGCCTGCACAAAAGAGGAGAAGAGACAGAACATTAAAAACTCATCTGTGCCGAAGTAGTCACCTGGTCTGCAAAACCTAGTGGTGGTTTTCACAGCAGAGTCGCTGGTAAAGTATTGCTAAAGCACTGACTACACTGATCCTCTCAATATCCTGCAGGGGAGGCATTATCACAGTTTTAGGAGTGAAACCGAGAGATGAAGTAACTTGCCTGGCACCATAACGTAAGAGCAAGAACAATATTCAACAGTTCTTGACTCCCAGGTTTCATACGACCACACCTCAAACGTTTTAGCTAAAAACAATCATCCACCAGTGTCAAAGAGGGCAGAACTAGAAGGTGCAGAGCAGCGGTTCCCAACCTTTTCCAGATGGGGACCCATTTTGCCAATTTAGGAAGACTTGGTGACCCAGGGCAATTTAAAAAATGTGTGAATGGCTCCTTAGGAGCCACCTGGGGAGACACCTGGTGATCCTTTTGAAATGTAATGGTGACCCATATTTGGGAAACCCTGGTGTAGAGTGAGAGGGGTTAGTAATAAATACCTCTGCTTTAGTTAAGAGAAATAGCGTGGAGATATGCAATGCAACACCATATACAATTTAAAGGCGCTTTCCTAGTTTTCAGAGATGGCTAGGGAGAGACTAAAATCAATAGGGAATTTGAATTTAGCACCAATTCAATCCTGCAGACAGACAGATAGCCAAGGGAAATGTGGGCTATAACCAAAGATCACTTCAAGGTTTCTGGTCTTGGGAGCTAATTTAAATGTTTGATAGAGAGAGAGAGAGAGAGAGAGAGAGCACAAGCGAGCGAGCACACACAACCCGCACCCTCTTTTACAAGGAAAAATTCAGTACAGCCAAGAGTTGATAGAGTGAAGACAGCCAAGGTAAGGCCAAGCCTTAAGCTAGCAACAAGGTAACCTAGAGCCGAGTTTCTGAAAGAGTTCCGTGGAATCACTCTCAGAAACACATTAACTGGCCACCCTGGTTTGTTTATTTACCGGCGCAGCGGCCATGGAGCCTCACTGCTCCCATGAGCTCCGTTTGGTCCTTTGCAGCCAAGCGGCGCTGCGGGAAGAGGTGGCCCGGCCCACGCTGCTTCCTGCAGCTCTCTGGGCTCCCAAGGACAAAACAGAGCCAATGGGAGCAGTGAGGCTCTGTGGCCACCGCATCAGTAAAGAAACAAATCGGGGCGGCCAGTTAACGTGTTTCTGAGAGCGATTCTCAGAAACACTGGCCGAGAGGGACAAAAGAAATATAAAAGAGAGCTAGGAATAAAGTCAGGAGCGCTTTTAAAATTATAAAGTTGTAACCAAAGGTGAATGTTGAACAATTAAAAGGGAAGGTTTCAAACCAAGGGGGAGGGTGGGGGGATGAGTCCTTGCTCAAGGTACCTGTGACGGGGTGTATCAGTCCTGAGCTGGGGAAGCTAGGCCTAACCAGGCTCACCTGGCTGAAGAAGTCCTGCCCCACAGCCCTGCTGTGTATGCTAGGACTGCAGCCCAGGTATAAAGGCTTGGAGAGAGGCTCAGTCTGGGCTGGCTGCTGAGGAGGAAGGTACTGCCTGAGCTTCTGGAGGTGAACTGCCAATGGGACACAAGAGACACGGCCGAGGATCTGGACCTTGGAAGGAGTCCAGCGTAGGGATGTAAAAGTGTAGTCAATTAACCAACAAGCAAAAGCTTATAGGTTAATGCTACAAACTACATGCATTTCTCCCCC